CACATCAAAGTTCCTGAAAGCAAAGAAGGTCAAGGTGCTTCAGTATTGGCCAGCTCAGTCACCAGACTCAAACATTATTGAGCATGTCTGGGGTAGGATGAAGTATGAGGCATGGAAGATGAATCCAAAGAATCTTAATAAACTGCAAGAACGCTTGCTTTGCCATTCCAGATGACAATATTAATAAGTTATTTTAGTCATTGCAGAGATGTATGGATGTCATACACAATATGAATTCTTTTTCCACTGCACCATGACTTTATATTTAATACTGTACTTTATTTCTGTTAAGTGACTAGAGTTTGTCTAAGCAAAGTCAGACCTTACTGTATTAATTAAATAATTAAAAATCAAGGCATGATCATATTTTATTTTGGTACAATAAGTGCAATCTAGAGGCCTTTGCCTTTCATACAAGCCATGTTTGAGCAATGTGACATTGGCGCTATATGACATTCATAAAAAGATTTAAAAATAAAAAAAATTAATTGTCTGAGTTAATCCTTAAAGTCTTCTGAGACATGAATACTTTATATGATGAAAGCTTTTTTTGACAGTTGTGGAACTTTGTTGAATAGTGAACATAGATAGTAGCTCAACCATTAGTGCTTCCATGATCAAATCTGAATAGTGTAAACATTGCTTTCTGAATTGCTGAATTATATATATATATATATATATATATATATATATATATATATCCACATACAATTTCAAAACAGAATAAACTATTATCTCCGCATACAATTTCACAACTGAAATAGTCTTCAAATCCACAAAGGCCAGGATAAAGCTTGTATAATTAACACAGCTGACCCTGTTTGATAGCGTCCTCCTCTTCATAACATATGCGTGTCACAATCCGACCTGTAATTTTCTTTCAAGACTCAACTGCTGAAAACTAAAACCATAATGATTTAGTGAACTTGTGTTCTGTGTGCTGTAAAATGACAAATGATTCGACCAAATGTTATGCTGTAATAATGGTTGGTATTTTTGATTAAGATTATTCGTGGCTTGTTTGTCCTTGCTCCTCTACTTCATTCATTTGCCTCTTTATCAAACACTGAGGATATGAAAGTCAGCTGTTAACAATGAACAGAACATCTTTGATTGCTATGGTACACTGGTGGCTTCACAACAGCCTGAGTCAAATGAGCATTGTTGATCAGTCCTAGTCTGAAAAACAACAACTGCCCCAACACATCCTTATTTTTTATATAATTTTTTTCCCCCAACAGTACTGCTTTAATTTAACGTTCAATTTTCTCTTTTGAACTTAATTCTTTACCATCACAAGAAGTGTAATATTGACATACTGTATTAATAATATTATGCATTAGCTTTAAATAAATCAGTATTGTAATTTTTTTAGTTTTCATTTTAACATGCATATACTGTAAGTTTTTTAAAATTTATCTTTATTTTTATATATTTTTATCTTTATTGTTATTTCTTATTTCAGATAGATGTAAATGCACAATTTCATTTTTAAATTAATATTATTTAGATAAATGTTTTGCTTTCAAACACATTTATAAATACATTTCAGCATAAACCAAAAATTGTATAAAAGTATAAAGATTTTTTTTTAATCTTTTAAATTAAAAAAATATCAACCACTTTTTACTGTTTCAAATAAAGTAAAATAAAATCAACAACTACGTTTTATCCATTTGTCAATTAGTTAATCCTTTAAAATATTATTAACTTAAGTATGATCCCTTATTCTTATATTAATTATATATGTCAATAAGTATAGCTAAGAATGTGTGTGTGTGGTTTTACTTTTACATAAATGTTTTCTAAATTATGATCGAACATGAGTCTTGTCATTTAATTTTCACAAACGTCATTTGAACATCGAATTACACCTTACTTGCACTAAAAAGTTGAATGAAATGTGTTTCGTTGATCCAGATTCATGACATCAGGAAGTGTGCTCATAATAGTGTGGCACAATTTCTATTTCTGTATGGTTTTGTTTAAGTTTTACAGTTTTTAATACACTATATGGTTCTAGTTTCAGTCAGCAAAAAAGGTTTTCCCTATTTGTTCACAATTGTCATAGAGACTGTTCTGCATATTTTGCATGAGACATAAAGAGCCAGATTGCTGAGGAAGGTCACATCTGTTTCCTATGTATCAAAATACCAAATGGATTTGCAATCAAATTTCCCTCCTGCTGCAAGAGAAATGACAGTTCACAGAAGACGGATTAAAATGAGTCGAGTATTAGTACAATGACATGTCTTGTATTTAATCTTTAAAATCAGATGAAGATTTAATTGTTACTCAAAGATAATAATTAAGAAGACATATGCTTTCATATTTGCAGTATTAATATTTACACTGTAAAACATGCTGGGTTCCACAAAATTTATTTGTGTTGAGACAACATGAAGGAATTAAGAAAACTTGTTGATTTTTACAAATTTAAGTTGATTGAACATGTAACAATTAAGTTGTTTACCCAAATAAAATTCAAGAATTGTGTGTTTCGGCTCAATTTAAATAAGTAGTTTGAACAAACGGAGCCGCACGGTGGCTCGGTTGTAAGCACTGTCGCCTCACAGCAAGAAGGATCACTGGTTTGAGTCCCGGCTGTGCCAGTTGGTATTTCTGTGAGGAGTTTGCATATTCTCCGTGTTAACGTGACATGCAGGTTAAGTGAACTGGGTAAGCTAAATTGGCCGTAGTAAGTGAATGCCTGAGTTTATGGATGTTTCCCAGTATTGGGTTGTGGCTGAAAGGGCATCCCCTGCATAAAACATGCTGGAATAGTTGGTGGTTCATTCTTATGTGGTGATAAACAAGGGACAAAGCGGAAGGAAAATGAATGAACAAACAGCAAATGTCACCAACAATTGATTCAAGTGTCATTAGCTTGTTAACTGAATGGACGGATTCTTCAATACCAGTGTATTCATGACTTCTGGCTTCTCCAAAGGGATTTTTCTTAGAATTGTTACGTTTCCAGGTCTTATGAATGACAAGTAACCAATATTGGAAAGGCTCCAGTAATGTGTCTCAGTTTTTCAGGGTCCATTGTCTAATACATGGTAACCACATGTTTTTTTTTTTCTGTTTTAGATTTGTCACGCTGGCATGCTGTTTCATTTCATATTTGCAGACAACTAACATTCATTGTCTTTTCGAACTTCAGCCCTGTGAACATAAAGACATCTTTATTGCTGTAACTGAAATTGTATTATAGGGAATTTGGTTGCAAACCACAGTGATGTGTCTCTGACAGTTAGCATATTCATTCAAAATAATGAATAATGGACAGGCTGATGATAAAGGAACAATTGTTATGTCTGTTACGGTTTCCAATGTGTAATTTCAATTGTGATTGTTGGTTGTATGCACAAGAAAAGGGGATTTAAAGCATCAGAACAATAAATGCATTTAAAATTGTCCTTGCATAAAAATGTAAAGAATGAAAATAATTTATTTTTGCTTTAATTAAAATGAGCTCAAACAACACAATTCTTGAGATTTCATTGGACAACTACATTTTTTATGTTCAAATAAATTTGGTAAAAGTGTTAAGTTAACCTAATCGATTTGCATTGGGTCAACATAAATGATTTATGTGGAACCCTGCATTTTTTTAGTGTGTGCTATTTTTAGTCTGTGCTTATTTACTGTAATTTACAATATATATATAATAATATAAATAATATGTATAATTTATATTGTACAAAATACCATGTACAGAAAAAATATAATCTTCTGGCCTAAATAAAGTTTAAATTTATGGTAAATACATATTGTACATATTGTAAATGTAGTGCTCAGTAAAATCATTTTTAAAAATTAAATACTTTCTCAACTTTTATATGCAAATATATATTTTGAAATGTATCCCAGGTCAAGAAATTTTAAATGAATTAATTATTAAGATAATTATGTTTAATAAAATATTTAAATGAAATATATTACATTTTTAATTATTTGCTTTCAAACATATTTATTATAGACACATTCCACCATCAACAAAAATTGTATTTAAATAAAAATATTTGTTTTTCACTGTTTAAAATTTGGGTGTCACAGTGGCGCAGTGGGTAGCATAATTGCTTCACAGCAAGAAGGTCACTGGTTCGAGCCCTGTCTGGGTCAGTTGGCATTTCTGTGTGGAGTTTGCATGTTCTCTCCATGTTTGTGTGGGTTTCCTCCATGTGCTTCAGTTTCCCCCACAGTCCAAAGACATGTGGTACAGGTGAATTAAATAAGCTAAATTGGCCGTATGCGTGTGTTTGGGTGTTTTCCAGTGTTGGGTTGCTGGATAAGTTGGTAGTTCATTCCACTGTGGCAACCTCTGATAAATAACTACGCTGAAAAGAAAATGAATGTTTAAAATCTAGTTTTACAAATATGTATTTGAAAAATCAACCAGGTTTTACTCATTTGTCAAGAAGTTAAACGCTTAAAACACTTTTAAATTAAGTATAATCACTAAATCTTGTATTAATTATGTATTTCAATAAGTGCAGCTGAAACATTAGTATGTTGTTTTACTTTTACATAAATATGCATTCTAAGTGGTGATAGAACATGTTGTCATATTCTATAACAAACGTTATTTGAACATTGAAATAAACTTACACATTGAATTCTACATTAAAAAGTTGAATAAGATATGTTTAATTAATCCAGATTCATGACATCAGAAAGTTTGCTCACATTTACCCACCTTTATGTTGCTTCGACCACAAATGAACAAAAGAAGGATGCTGGGACGTATGTCACCATTCATTGTCATCATGTGGAACGACTATACATTGAAAACAACACGGTTAGTCTTTATTCTACCTCTTTTAGATCTCCACAGAAGAAAGGAAGTCATTCCAATTTTGACCGTCATGTTGGTCAAGAATTAATGATAGATTTTAGAATTTTAGTGTGGCTCCACTATGCCTTTAAGATTATACTCACGTCGCCCGGAAGCTGCTGCTGAGGACAAATGCAAGTTGGCGGCGCGCGCTGGAGAGCGTGAATGACAGACGGACGCGCGCGGGGTTTCTCTTCACGCAACTCATTCGTTTGTCTAGATATTTTTGTTGAGATATCCTTTGATGACGCCGTTGTATTCACAAACTACAGGTTGGAAATAACTACTAAACATCAGCGACAAGTTTCCCTGGGGTAAGTTGGTAAAACAATTAACTCCATGCGCACGTTTCGTTGAATGTTACGCCTTTTAAACATTATTCGCTTGTTCGTAATTCCAAAAGTAGTGTCTTGTTTTTACCAGTTTTTGGGGCATTAAACGAAATGTAACAACATATTTGTTTAAATATGCCTGGGCACTTATTAAACAGTGTTAGTTTAAACTACTTGTTCTCAAACCTGTTGGTAGTTTGTTTTTGTTTTGTCCATTTGTTTAGCGGGTTGTGAGAGATGTTTTATGCATCACTTTGTGTTTTTAGTTGCGTAGTTTGACTTCATACGCTATAGTTTAGGAGTTTGCCTTCAATATTTTAAGTGTTTTTAGACTTTATATCAAGGTTTCTTGTGTGTTACAGCGGACTGGGGATGCGCGCTCCCGTGCGTCAGTAATTGAGTGATGGTTGTGCTAAAATGTGTGTGAAATAAACTCTGAATTAAAGTATTTAGTGTGTCCGTGAGATGGGAATACAGTGATGTTTCGAAACGCAACATAAAGCAAACCCAAATGTCTGTTGTTCTTTCATTGTGGTTAAAGGAAGGGTTGCTCCCCGTTACTTGATACACTACCTTTCCCTTCTGGAGAGCGAGCCTTAAGCGCGCTCACGGGGAGATGCTGTCCAGTGTCCACAGAAGCGGAGAAATTAATGAGACACCTGATACTGATTTGGCAATTTGCGTGCACTCGGAATTCTAAATGTTCCGATATAAGTTATCATCAAGTCAATATGTAAAAAAAATTGTAATAGAGTTTTTGTTCGTCCCATTTTCATAGCAGAGTAACAAAACAACACCAGCCTTTGTCGCAATGGACTGAAAAAGTTTATGATCCAGTCTCATTTGCATTGATGTAATATATCACCACCAGTGATGCAGCCTTATGGCTTTTTTGGTTCCTTTTTATGTTTAGCTCTGTCAGAAACTACTTTTTACATGTGGGTGTTGACTTGATTTGGTTATGGGAAGTTGTTCTGTGGTTTGACTTGCTACAGACCATTAAACCATTTCAAACGGCATTTAAATAAGAAGTTTATCATTTAGGTGAGCAGGTTTGTGGCATCCCTAGAGAGACATGTACTTAAATAAAAACTGCCAAAAGATGGACTTTTACATCGGCTTCAAATAAATTGAAACCTGGATGAACCTAAACACCATACATGTTTAAGCCCATTGCACATTTAATAGTGATCCACCCTGCCAATGAGCCAATGCTGTAAACCAAACAGTAATGAATGTATAATCTCTTACCCATACATTTGATATCTGAAAACATGTTTTGCATGTTATATGAGGTAAGGAGCAAATTCCAAACCATCTTAATGTACTTTCTGTTCTTTTCGTTTTATTGTACAATTCTACTTTGATGTTTACTAAAAAAAAATCAAATGATTTATGTACAAATGACGAGTCTTTGTTCACTCAAATGGCTAAGGCCATATCCAGACTACATTTTTGTTTTAATGGATAGTTACCCAAAGCTGAAAATTCTGTAATCATTTACTTACTCTTGACTTGTTCCAAACCTGTTTGACTTTGATCACAAAAGAAGATGGTGTGAGGAAAGATAAAAACCTGTGACCATTGACATTCAAGTATTTGTTTTTACTGCTATAGATGTTAATGGTTGCTGGTTTTCAACTTTTATTAAAGCGCCATGAAACCCCCTTTTTTGGTTCAAGTCTAAAGCCCCTTTCACACAGTAATACCGGTAAATATCTGGAAAATTTCCGGAACGACTTTACCGGTATATTCAAAAAAGCGCTGTTCACACAGGTGAGGACGTTACGGAAATTTTCCGGAAAAGAGCATTCACACAGCCATTCCAAAATACCGGTAAATTCTGACATCATTCACCACAAATGAGCTTTAAACGGCTGCGCTTGTATTTGTAAACATTTGACTAAATTACAGACTCTGTGGATGATCAATATTGTGAACAACTTTCGCAGGATCACTTTCGCATGTCGAGATGTTCATAATATGTGCGTGTGCAGGTGCTCATAGGCGCACGCAAAGCTTGAAGGTAAACAAACAACGGCTTATCATAAGCATCTCATCGATGATTATTTACACAGTTGGCATTAAGAACATATAAATGTGATCTGACTAACTTCTAGCAGCTAAATGTGTCTGGAAAAATATTCAAAGGCTTTTATCCTCACAAACCGCGCAGACGTAAATGTGTCTGACTGTTGTGATTGGCTAAAGCAGACATCTCACGTCAGCACGTTCTAGACGTGCACGCGCTTATTACAGCAATCTTACTTCTGCATTCACACAGCGCAGCATTCCGGCAAATTGCCGGTAATGATACAACTTCTCTTTCCGGAAAATAGCCAGAACGAATTTACCGGTATTTTCAAAAAGGACCTGTTCACACATACAACCTTTCCGGAAAATTGCCGGCAATTTTCCGGAAAGGTCTGTATGTGTGAAAGGGGCTTAAGAGTCTGTCTGGTTCAAATTTTTTCAAAAAAGGCTCCAAGATTGGTGTAGAGCACTACGAGCAGAGGGAGGAGTGGGCGTGGCCAGCAGAGCAGGGGAAAAGAGGGTAACAAGCAACTGTCAGTTGGCTCACAAAATGAGACACAAACGGTGATTTTATAGTTTACAATGTTAAAATGTAAAGAAACAAACAGTAAGTAGCTTAATGCCCTACTTTTGCTATTTGTATTGTCATATACACATAACCACAATTTGTTATATAATTTTAAAGATAATCATGTTTATTTAAACACTAACTGAGGAGGACTTCTCTTCTACTGAATCCCCATGTCTGAATGCAGACATAGTGAATAGCAGTGCGGCAGGTCTCTTGCCCTGTCTATTACAACCATTAACCCTGCTGGTAATCTGGAGGATTTTAAACTTTGGGCAAACATAGCAGCACGAACATAGGCGATGTGTCTGAAAGGTAACAAACTGATAAAAAACAAAGTCTGGCATTTTCCAATTCTTGTACAGCTCTCCCAACAAAAATGCTTGCTGCCAACCAACAGCTTTGCTGTGTCCGCCCTGACAAAATTGTGGGGAAAAACATGCAACAAAGGGCGACGCAGTGGTGCAGTATGAAGTGCTTGCGCCTCACAGCAAGAAGGTTGCTGGTTCCAGCCTCGGCTGGGTCAGTTGGCGTTTCTGTGTGGAGTTTGCATGTTCTCCCTGCGTTCGCGTGGGTTTCCTCCGGCTGCTTCGGTTTCCCCCACAGTCCAAAGACATGGGGTACAGGTGAATTGGATATGCTAAATTGTCCGTAGTGTATGAGTGTGCGTTTATGTTTCCCGGAGATGGGCTGCGGCTGGAAGGGCATCCGCTACGTAAAAACGTGCTGGATAAGTTGATGGTTCATTCCGCTGTGACGACCTTGGATTAATAAAGGGACTAAGCTGAAAATGAATGAATGAATAAACATGCAACAAACCCTGTGGATTATGGAACATGTACAACCCATGCCGTGCGCAGCCGCGGTGTCACCCTGTCATTGGGTCTGACGCCCCATTACACCCAGCATTACGCCCCATTTACACAGGGTGTCAGCGTCAACGCTTCCCATTCACTTTGAATGGGTGACGTCAAGCGTTGCCGAACTTCATTGTGAATCCGTCGGCGCCGCTTCAGAGGTGTTGCTCGCTGCAGAAGTTGGGACCAGCTCAACTTTTGAAGCGCCGATGCAAGCGTCACCCAATCAGATCGCTGTATGCAAATACACTAGCTAGACAGTGCCCTATTGCTGACTAAATTTCATTGGCTGACACTTCTATAATGGTCACTTCAGCCCCAACTTCAGACACGCCTTTAGCCAAACGTTGACGCTGAAGCCCCGTGTGAATGGGGCGTCACAGCTTGTCAGGTCTTTCTTACCTTCAGAAAGCACATGCTCTCATGAATAATTATAAGCAGCAGTGTCTTCTCATAGGATAAAAAAACTCCACTATGAATAATAATGAGGAACTGACCCATCTTCACTCCACTAGCAGATTTGCGCTACGTCACTGATTTTGATCCCGCCCCAAAAAATAATTTTAAACCCAAAATATGAAATTAGCTGACAAAAGCTCAAAACAGTTTTTTCTGTGAACTATCCTTTTAAGACTCACTTTTTTTTCTCTATGCTGAGATATCGTTTTTAGACGATGAAAATGTATCTTTTTGAAAATGCTCTCAAAAGATAAATCTGAGTGCCATTTTTATGTCGCAGTGTGGAGGCTTTTGAAATCTGTTGCATTTTAATCATGTGACAATGACCAATTCAGTTAAAATGGAGGATGTTGTAAAGCAGTTTTTGCTGTTCGCTGTTTTGACAGCCTTTTTAAATATTGCTTTTTCTCAAAGGACATGGAATGTTTACTCAGTTGTTGTTTTGGCATGTCTCCCAGTCTATATTCTCATATGCATTTGCAACTTTATGCTACTGTGTGTAACTCACAGCAGTAATTCCACTCACTGTCAGTCAATTTACAAAAACTTTTTTTTTCTCAACATATAGCTGGGATGTTTCAAAGAACCTAAAAGTGAATTAACATATGTGCAGTACAGGGACAAAAGTATTTTAAGTCATTTCAACGTTAATAACTTATGTTTGGAAACTAATTAAAAATGATGTGTGGATGCACATAGAGTCTTGAAGTATTGAATTAAACATGCCAGCAGACTCAACACAACTGTACACTTAATCAAATACAATCCTATATTACATCACTATTGTTTTTGTTGTCAAGTTCTCGCACATACCTCTAGATTAGGGGTGCCCAGACTTTTTTTTATGAAGAACCAAAAACCAAACTTAATTGAGGGGGGTGGGCCGAAGCTAAATATACCAAACTGTATTATATTTAAGTTGCCATTGTAACTTCCTTATTTAATAATAGTATTTAAAAAATATTTATAAGAATATATACTTTTAATGGTTTTAATAATTAAAATTAAATAATATTAATAATAATGTTTTAATAATTAAATTAAAATAAATAACCATTTGTCAA